CAAGGTGCTTAAATGACAATAGTGCTAAAAATAGCACATATACAATGCAATGAAACTGTGTATACAATGAAATTGTATAAAAAAAAATATATATATATACACACAGGTGAAACTCTGCAAATTAGAATATTGTGCAAAAGTTCATTTATTTCAGTAATGCAACTTAAAAGGTGAAACTAATATATGAGATAGACTCAATATATGCAAAGCAAGATAATTCAAGCCGTGGTTTGTCATAATTGTGATGATTATGGCTTACAGCTCATGAAAACCCCAAATCCACAATCTCAGAAAATTAGAATATTGTGAAAAGGTGCAATATTCTAGGCTCAAGTGTCCCACTCTAATCAGCTAATTAAGCCATAACACCTTCAAAGGGTTCCTGAGCCTTTAAATGATCTCTCAGTCTGGTTCAGAAGGAATCACAATCATGGGAAAGACTGCTCACCTGACAGTTGTGTAGAAAACCATCATTGACACCCTCCATAAGGAGGGAAAGCCCCAAAAGGTAATTGCAAAAGAAGTTGGATGTTCCCAAAGTGTTGTATCAAAGCACATTAATAGAAAGTTATGTGGAAGGGAAAAGTGTGGAAGAAAAAGGTGCACAAGCAGCAGGGATGACCGCAGCCTGGAGAGGATTGTCAGGAAAAGGTCAGTCAAAAGTGTTGGGGACTTTCACAAAGAATGGACTGAGGTTGTAGTCAGTGCATCAAGAGCCACCACACACAGACGGATCCTGGACATGGGCATCAAATGTTGTATTCCTCTTGTCAAGCCTCTCCTGAACAACAAACAACTTCAGAAGCGTCTTACCTGGGCTAAAGAAAAACAGACCTGGTCTGTTGCTGTGGTCCAAAGTCCTCTTTTCTTATGAGAGCAACTCTTGCATCTCATTTGGAAACCAAGAACCCAGAGTATGGAGGAAGAATGGAGAGGCACACATTGCAAGATGCTTGAAGTCCAGTGTGAAGTTTCCACAGTCTGTGTTGATTTGGGGAGTCATGTTATCTGCTGATGTTGGTCCACTGTGCTTCATTAAGTCCAGGGTCAACGCAGCTGTCTACCAGGAGATTTTGGAGCACTTCATGCTTCCTTCCGCAGACAAGCTTTATAGGGATGCTGACTTCATTTTCCAGCAGGACTTGGCACCTGCCCACACTGCCAAAAGCACCAAAACCTGGTTGAATGACCGTGGATTACTGTGCTTGACTGGCCAGCAAACTCACCTGACCTGAACCCCATAGAGAATCTATGGGGCATTTCCAAGAGAAAGATGAGAGACATGAGATCGAAAATGCAGAAGAGCTGAAGGCCGCTTTTGAAGCATCCTGGTCTTCCATAACACCTCAGCAGTGCCACAGGCTGATAGCTTCCATGCCATGCCGCATTGAGGCAGTAATTGTTGCAAAAGGGGCCCAAACCAAGTACTGAGTACATATGCATGCTTATACTTTTCAGAGGTCCGATATTGTTCTATGTACAATCCTTGTTTTATTGATTGCATGTAATATTCTAATTTTCTGAGATTGTGGATTTGGGGTTTTCATGAGCTGTAAACCATAATCATCACAAATATGACAAATCACAGCTTGAACTATCTTGCTTTGCATGTAATGAGTCTATCTCATATATTAGTTTCACCTTTTAAGTTGCATTACTGAAATAAATGAACTTTTGCATGATATTCTAATTTTTCGAGTTTCACCTGTGTGTATATATATATATATATATATATATATACTAAAGTCCCAATAATTGTGCAAACATATAAAAGTTCCAAAAAAATTAAAAGCTCCAAAAAAAACCCAAAGAAACCCACATCCGATGTGAATATTAAGTGATACAGTAGTAAATCTTCTTATCCATAGCAATTTCTCTGTGCGTAGTGCTCCAATTAGTGCTCCCCCTCCAGAGCCCCACTCACCACAGAAAATTGAGCATCTGGAATGGTAGGTCAAATATCGCATGAGATGTTGCAGCGCTCTCCTGCAGGAAAGTTGGCCGTCTGTGTGGTCTTGACACCTCTATACGCTGAAGACAGGCTCCATAGTGGAAAAACCTCTAGATCAATCGTTTGCAACAAAACTCCTCCAGAACCTCCACAGTACTCCTCCACCACCATAAAAACATCAAAGGGAAACTTCCATAGCTTAACACTGTATTTATTGGGTAAAAAAATATTTAAAATTGCACTTACATAAAAACCATGTGTATGACACTTTAAATCCCAGCAAAAAGCAATTCCTTCTCAGAGGACAAGTGTAGCGCTATCAAGCCCCACTCTACATGTTTCGTCGTATGATGTCATCAGGAGCGTATATAAATCTGCTTTCTTAAAATATATTTCCTCCCTCCATGCTGCCAAACAAGACTACTTTGTCATTCTTATTAAAGCCTTTTCATCCAGTCCTCGCTGTCTCTTCTTTACTTTTAACTCTACTTTCTCCACCTCCACCTAGTAACTCACTCAATGCTTACAAGATTGCAAATCATTTCAAAAACAAGATTTATGCAATTCATAGGGGCATTTCCACTACACAGACATCTATCCCACTTAGCATACCTTATACTAAACCTCCCTTAACCCTTTCCTCTTTTGACCTTGCTAATACTGAAGAGGTCACTAAAAATTTCTAAGAAGCCCACCTCACCACCTGCTCCCTGGATCCTGTTCCCTCACAACTACTATGGTCATCCTTCTCTTCTATCCTTTGCTCCCTCACTCACATCTTCAATCTCTCCCTCTCTACAGGCACCTTCCCCTCCCCTCTAAAACTTTCACAGATCACTTTCATACTTAAAAAGCTCTCACTGGACTCCACCAACCTGAACAATTTAAGACCCATATCCCTGCTCCTGTTTACCTCTAAACTTTTAGAACGCTTAGTCTACAAATGCTTGAGCTCCTACCTCACTAACAGCAACCTTATTGACCCTTTACAATCTGGCTTTTGCTCACTACACTCCATTACAACTGCCCTACTAAAACCCACTAATGATCTACTAACTGCTAAAACCAATGACCACTACTCCATACTCCTACTACTTGACCTCTGTGTGGCTTTGATACTGTTGACCATAACCTCCTCCTAAAAAAACTCCACTCTCCGAGTCTCTCCGAGCCTCCGAGACTCTGCTCTCTCCTGGTTTTCCTCCTGCCTATCGCAACGCTCCCTCAGTGTTACTGTCAGGGCTCCGGGAATGACCAGAGGTGTGTGGACCGACACAGGGAAACAGACTTCAGGTATAGCATTTAAACAAGATAATTTATTAAGGACAACACAAACATAAACGCAGTGCAACAAACCAAACCCAAAGCTAACACAAATACATACAACAAGGTGAAACAAACCCAAACCTAAACTGATATATATATATGTATATATATATATGGAGCACAACGTAGTCAGGCGGGCCGGGTCGGTAGCTAACGGGCAGACAAGGTACAAGGAGTAGGCAGAAGATTGGTCAGGAGTAGCTGAGGTCGGTGCAGGCAGAGATCAAGCAGAGTCAGGATAAGGCAGGAAGCAGACAGGATGCGGGTACAGGGGCTTATGGGAACAATACACCAAGGCACTGACTGCAGGCCTGGCCATTCCTTAAATACACCTCCTGCAATCAGCCTCAGGTGATGGCTTGATTGCAGGAGTGAGCTTCTGGCTGCTGAGGGCACCCGCTTGCCAGCCCTGGTACTGCAGCCCACATGGCAGGTGAGTCCCACCACCAGTGGTGCATCCATTCCTGACAGTACCCCCCCCCCCCCCCTCAAGGAGCGGTGTCAGGAATGGACTGGCCAGCAATGGTGGGACTCACCTGCCTTTTGATCTGCAGTACCAGGGCTGGCCAGCGGGTGCTCCCAGCAATCAGAGACTCAACCTTTCAGCCAGCTAACACCTGGAACTGATTATACTGGTGTATTTAAGGGATGGCCAGACCTGCAGACTCTGCCTTGGTGTTGTGTTTGTCCTGGGCCCTGTATCTGTCCTGCATCCTGTTTCTGTTCCTTTGCTGACCCTGCCTGATCTGAACCGCTGCTGACTTCTCCTGCTCTGATCCCGGCTCGCTCCTGACCATCCCTCTGCCTGACCCTCTGTACCACGCTGCTTGCTACCTGTTCTGATCCCTGGCTTGTGACCCTGACCATCCCTCTGCCTGACCCTCTGTACCACGCTGCTTGCTACCTGTTCTGATCCCTGGCTTGTGACCCTGACCATCCCTCTGCCTGACCCTCTGTACTACGCTGCTTGCTACCTGCTGAACCTGGCCTGTGACCCCGACCAATCTCCGCTTGCTTGTATGTACTGTTATCTGTGGGTGGTTGCTTTGGTTTGCTTGCACTGTATTATGTTTTAGTATTGCACTGTGTTTATGTTTGTATTGTTAGTGTTAATAAATTATATTGTTTATCACATATCTGAAGTCTGCGTTTCCCTGCGTCAGTCACACACCTCTGGTCATACCCGGGAGCCCTGACAAGCGGCCTCAGGATGCTCCAAACAGTCCTTAGTGAGCAAAATGTCCCACCGCCCGGGTCAGGTAACTGGCTCAATATCCTACTGCCGGAGTCAATCGGCTGGCTGGGTTTCCTGCTGGTAGACGTCTCTTTGTGTAGGAGAACCCAGGAAGGCAGGTTCCTGGACACAGGATCTCCAGGAGCAGGCTGGGAACCAGTTATTGGCCAGTTTAGCTGGACATCAGGGGCTGGCACATCAGGCTGGGCAGCGGACAGAGGCACATCAGGCTGGGCAGCGGACAGAGGCACATCAGGCTGGGCAGCAGACAGAGGCACATCAGGCTAGGCAGCCAGCACCGGAACATCAGGCTGGGCAGCAGGCACCAGAACATCAGGCTGGACAGCGGGCACCAGAACATCAGGCTGGGCAGCTGGCACCGGAACATCGGGCTGGGCAGCGGGCACCGGAACATCGAGCGAGGTAGCGGACACCGGGTGGAGCAGCGGGCACCAGGCCATCGGGCGAGGCAGCGGGCACCGGCCCATCAGGCAAGACAGTGGGCACCGAGGCATCAGGCTCGACAGCAGGCACCAAGTCATCTGGCTTGACAGCGGGCACCAAGTCATCTGGCGCGACAGCGGGCACCAAGTCATCTGGCACGACAGCGGGCACCGAGTCATCTGGCAGAACAGCGGGCACCGGGTCACCAAGCTCGACAGCGGGCACCGAGTCATCTGGCTCGACAGCGGGCACCGAGTCATCTGGCACAACAGCGGGCACTGAGTCATCTGGCAGAACAGCGGGCACCGGGTCACCAAGCTCGACAGCGGGCACCGAGTCATCTGGCACGACAGCGGGTACCGAGTCATCTGACATGACAGTGGGCACCGGGTCAGCTGGCATAACCACGGGCACCGGGTCACCAAGCTTGACAGCGGGCACCGAGTCATCTGGCATGACAGCGGGCACCGAGTCACCAAGCCCGACAGCGGGCACCGAGCCATCTGGCACGACAGCGGGCACCGAGCCATCTGGCACGACAGCGGGCACCGAGCCATCTGGCACGACAGCGGGCACCGAGTCATCTAGCACCGAGTCATCTAGCAGATGATCCTACCCGGCCTGATGATCCTACCTGGCCTGATGACCCGATCCAGCCTGATGACCCGATCCAGCCTGATGACCCGATCCAGCCTGATGACCCGATCCAGCCTGACGCCGGTGCCCGCGGTCCAGCCTGACGCCCCGATGCCCGCGGTCCAGCCTGACGCCCCGGTGCCCGCGGTCGAGCCTGGTGACTCGGTGCCCGCTGTCGAGCTTGGTGACTTGCACCTCAGAGAACTCCGTGCCCTGATCTACTAGGAAATGAGCAAACCGTATGCATTCTAGCAGCTGATCCCTGGCATACTCCTTCAGAGTCTGATAGGCATGACTCTCTGTCATCTAGGACTAGCAGCAACAAATATACAACATCCTCAGGGTGCATCCTTCACAACAATAAGCCAAGATGGCTTCCCTGTGCAGCCACTTCTGGTCAGGACTGGCCTTGGTGTAATGTCAGGACTCCGGGAATGACCAGAGGTGTGTGGACCGACACAGGGAAACACAGACTTCAGGTATAGCGTGTAAACAAGATAATTTAATAAGGACAACACAAACATAAACGCAGTGCAACAAACCAAACCCAAAGCTAACACAAATACATACAACAAGGTAAAACAAACCTAAACCTAAACTGATATATATATATATGGAGCACAACGTAGTCAGGCAGGCCGGGTCGGTAGCTAACGGGCAGACAAGGTACAAGGAGTAGGCAGAAGATTGGTCAGGAGTAGCTGAGGTCGGTGCAGGCAGAGTTCAAGCAGAGTCAGGATCAAGCAGAGTCAGGATAAGGCAGGAAGCAGACAGGATGCAGGTACAGGAGCACATGGGAAACAATATACCAAGGCACTGACTGCAGGCCTGGCCATTCCTTAAATACACCTCCTGCAATCAGCCTCAGTGATGGCTTGATTGCAGGAGTGAGCTTCTGGCTGCTGAGAGCACCCGCTTGCCAGCCCTGGTACTGCAGCCCACACGGCAGGTGAGTCCCACCACCAGTGGTGAATCCATTCCTGACAGTTACCTATAACTCTGTCTCCTCTGTTCCACTTCCAATTTCTGTAGGAGTCCCTCAAGATTCTGTCCTTGGACCCCTTCTCTTCTCCATCTAGACTTCCTCCCTTGGTCACTTGATAAACTCCCATGGCTCCAAATACCATCTCTATGCTGATGACACACATCTATCTTTCTACTTCTCATCTCCTTCAGTCTCCTCGTGCATTACTAACCTACTAAGTGACATATCAGCATGGATGTCACTCCACTTCCTCAAACTAATTCTTTCTAAAATGGAGCTAATAATATTCCCTCCAGCCCGTGCCCCCTCCCTGACTTCTCCATCAAGAACAATAATACAACCATCAGTCCCTTCCCTTATGCCAGGGTACTAGGTTTAATCTTGGACTCCCATCTGTCCTTTCAGCCCCAAATCCAATCACTGTCCAAATCTTGTAGACTTCACCTCCACAACATCTCCAAGATATGCCCGTTTTTAACCACGGAAACCACTAAGCAACTTGTTTCACTCCCTTATATTAAAATACACAGCACAAAAACCCTGTGTAATATCCCTGAAAAGTTATCCACCTCCACCCTTGAAGGCTAAACAAACAAAAATTATAAAACTTTTCTCTTTTCTTAAAATTACAAATTACAATAAAATATAAAACAAACAAAAAATGTCCAGAATATCAAAATGAACCCCACAGGTGTAAACAATTGTCCAACACAGTCTATTTTTCTTCTTCCAACAACAAGTCTCTTTCTCAACACCCGCAAATCCTGATGGCAATATACCTCAAAAAACAAAAACTCAACATAGTGTCATACCTTATAAATAATAAATACACACGTGCCACTCACTGTGCAACATGCAAAAAAAAAAAAAAAAACTATATATATGTGTTTGCTCTATGTACGAATATCTACACACATGCAAATATTCCTTTGTGTACCAAAAAATATATCTACAAGTGAAAACACTCACACAAAGTGTCTATTACACAAACTGTGAAAATAACTCAGATATATCAATGCAAGAGTGTATCACCGCACTCTATATTCATCAGTGAACACCTTAAACCCAAACCAACACTCTCCAACACTCTCCAACTTAGGGTTTTTCTTCCATTTCCCTCATAAGAAAATCAGCAATTACAAAAGTGAATCCAAAGATATCATCCTTTATTTAGCAACTTACATTAAAATTTGGATGAAGCAGCTCCTCCTCATAGGGATACAAGTGTAGACGAGCTGGGGAACACTGGCCACATGTTCCCACTTCCAAGATGGCCACGATCGCACTTCCGGTCAACGTCGATGCGTCTGACGTCACGTGTTTGCTGACGCGTTTCGTCACTTCCTATGACTTTTTCAGAAGGGTAAGGACGTCTGCGCATCGACTCCTTAAATACCGCCCTTCATACACTAAAGGCACTTCAAAACCGCCATCTTGGAAGCTGGAAAACGCCGCCCATACTTATCCACATTGCACCTTACTTCAACAACTCATCTATTGGCCGTTTATAAATCTCATCACAGACCCTGTGCCTCTGTATTACCATCCACAATACAAAGCATACTATACAATATCCCATATACATAAAATTAAAAATACCAGCATACAAATATATACATCTTAATATACTATACACATATATATATACTCCTTACTAATATTTTCTACCCTACCTTCCAGTCTAATACATCCTTATAAAATTAATTAAAAATTCATAAAAATATATCTATCCCCATTTGTATATACATATCCATATATAACATCCCCTTAGCAAATACACAATATTCCCTCTACTGGTCGACAAATAGAACGGGTATGTCCCCTTCTTCAAGGTCTAAGCAGTACTATTAAAAATCACAAAGTTTAAGCAGAATGTTAGAATGGATTGAGAGAAAAAAAAAAAAAAAAAAAAAAAAAAAAAAGGGCTACAGATAAGATACATCAAAAGTGAGGGGGGGAGGGGGGGATACAACACTCACACAGAGGGGGTCAAGTTTTAGCTAATAGATAGTCATAAAGCTGTCGGATAGTGGTTGAGGAATCCCATGTCCAAATTAAGACCGTTATCTTTAGTGTCAAATAGAATTATCATTCTTAGTTCAAATGTTTTTCTTTCCTGGATGGATTTAAATTTTCCTTTCAGAACTAAAATATTGAGGTCTTCCATATTGTGGCCTGGTTGTGAGAAATGGTGTCCTACAGGTGTGCAGAGGTCATCTTCTTTATGTTCCTTGATGGTATGTCTGTGTAAATTCATCCGTGTTTGCAACCTCTGTCCTGTTTCACCAACATAAGATCCTTTGCTGCATTTTCTGCACTGGATAAGGTATACAACATTACTGGAGGTGCAGCTGTATGATCCGGAGATATTGAAGATCCCTTTTGAGTGTCTGACACTTTTTGATGGATTGATTTGGTTGCACAGCTTGCAGCGTTTCTTATTGCAGGGTTTGCTTCCATTATTTGTGGCATCATAATCAGAAGGAAGTTTCCTACTGATTAGTTTATTTCTGAGGTTGGGGGGTTGTCTGAAAGCCAGTATTGGGGGTTGCTGGAATATTTCTTTCAGAGTTCCATCCTCTGTTATGATGGGTTGTAAATCTTTGATTATTTTTCTTATCCCTTCTAGTGCCGGGTTGTATGTAGTTACTAGAGGTACACGGTTGTTTGTTTTTTTCTCTTTGTACTGAAGCAGATTTTCCCTTCGGGTTCTCAAGGCTGTGTTTTTATGCTGGTGTTGATAGTTTTGTCCTTGTAACCTTTCTTATGGAAGGCGTCTGCTAGTGTCCCAAGATGTTTATCTCTGTCTCTTGGGTCAGAACATACTCGGTGGTATCTGATGGCCTGACTGTGTATGATGGCACGTTTCGTGTGTTGGGGGTGGAAGCTAGAACTGTGGAGGTAGTTGCATCTGTCAGTGGGTTTCCTGTATATTGAGGTGTGAAGCGTATCATCCCTGATGTATACTGTGGTGTCTAGGAAGTTGACCTGTGTGTTTGAGTATTCCATTTTTAGTTTGATTGATGGATGAAAAGTGTTCATCAATGAGTAAAATTGTTTTAGATTTTCTTCACCTTCCGTCCATATGATGAAAATATCATCAATATAGCGAAAGTATCTGTATGGTTTTTGTTCCATGCTGTTCAGGAATTGTTCCTCCATGTCAGCCATAAATAAATTTGCATATTGGGGTGCCATTTTACTTCCCATCGCAGTGCCCATACATTGAAGATAGATGTCCTTATTGAAAGCAAAGTAGTTGTGTGTAAGTATGAATTCAATGAGCTGTGTAACATCCTCAGCAGTGTATTTGTTGTTTGGTGAGGATGATAAGGATCTGTGACATGCAGCTAATCCATCCTTGTGAGGGATATTACTATACAGGGATACTACATCCATAGTCACTAGAAGTGTATTAGATGGTAATTGCTGGATGTTGTTGATCTTGTTCAGAAAGTCAGTTGTGTCTTGCAGGCAGGAAACTAGCAGTATTCATGACTAACGGTTTTTAAAAATTTTTTCTACAAAGCCTGAGATTTGTTCGGTGAGTGTATTCATACCTGTTATGATGGGTCTGCCTGGATTTCCTGGCTTGTGGACTTTGGGCAGCATGTAGAAGTCCCCGATTTCTGGATGATCCGGAATCGCATTTATAAGTTCTGAATGTAGGTGGGCTGGAAGTGTTTTAATGAGACCTTTTAATTGCTTTGTAAAGTCCTGGGTTGGATCATGATCCAGTTTTTTATAGTAGATGGCATTTTCCAGCTGCCTCTGGCCTTCTTGTATGTATTTGTTTGTATCCATCACAACAACTGCTCCCCCTTTGTCCGCTGGTTTGATGGTGATGGCCTGATTGTTGCGCAAATCGTGTATAGCCCTTCGCTCTAGTGGTGAAAGATTGTACAGAATTTTCTTTTGCTGGGTGGATATCAGGGATGTAGCTCGCAATCTGAAGCTATCAATATAGGTGTCCAGTTTGGGGTTGCGTCCTTGTGGAGGTGTGAAGCAGCTGTTCTTTTTCTTTGTGTAGCACTCCATTGTCCTAGGATTCCTTTCATTATTGTGGAAATATTCTTTGAGCCTTAGTCTCCTGAAGAAATCCTCCATATCTGACAATACTTGTAAATGATCCAATTTGGTGGTTGGGCAGAATGTAAGGCCTTTGGAGAGGATAGTTAATTCTGGTTCAGAAAGTTTATGATTTGACAAGTTGATGATTCCAAGTTCCTCTGTAATATCCACATTTTCAGTCGGGTCAGCATTTACACAAGGGATACCTTGG